TATATTATCATATGTCACAGACAAAACTTTTGTTGATAATGAATTGTCTAAAAATGTATTTAGCTTGTGTTCTAAAATATGGGCAAACGCTAAAAGTAATCGAATTATCGATATATTTACCCAACATTCGTTTTTTTATTACTTTAGTTGTTCATTTTATTTCGTGCTATGTTCGTGTTCTTTCGTGTTTCTTCGTGCGTGTTTTGTCGTGCCTTTTTGGCTCAACACGAACACGCACGGCCACGCACGAAATCGGAATTTACAACACGAACACGCGGGCCCACGCGTGGCACGAAGTGCCACGACAAAAAACACGGCCCGTGCCCAACTCTACAACAAACACAACCAGTTTGGTTCTGTTTTTATTGTTGTTGTTTGGGGCTGCATGTAACGGTGCTTAACGTCACCTACTTTTTTTTGTAGATAAAATAAAATGCCAGACTGTGCGCTTATGTGTGTGTGTGTGTGTGTGTGTGTGCGTAACTGTCAAACCGGTTGAAAAATTTGTGCATTGAAAACGAAATGATTTTAAAAACGAGGCTTTTATAACGCCTGCGGCGTATTGGCCGAGTTTTTAACTTTAAGCCGCAGGGAAGCATTAGCTAATGATTCTAACGCATCATGTTACTGTCCAGAATATTGTTCCACTTTTTCATTGTGTTTTGGTAACAGTTTACTGCAATCTTTACACACCTCGTTCGTTCTCTTGTCGTCCACAACTAACTTAATTAGCATATTTCGAGTCTTTGGAAAACATGTTCAGTAACCTGAGCGATAAGACGCTTCGACGTGCTCATTTCCATCTTTCTTTTATCTCCAACATACACATACATTTCTTTTATATATATAAACAAAATACGCGTGCCATGGCCAATATGCAGATGCCAACTGTGGGCTTTTAAGCCAAAGTGCCAGCTACGGCTTTTTATGTTCCCTTTAGAAATGCTTGTTGTTATGGTTGGGACAAAAGTTAGAAACGTTGTCTAAGTGTCTAAGCCACTTGTTAGCAAACGGATTGATGTATTTTGTATGCATATATTTTGTAGGCATAGCTTGCACGAACTGCTTACATTTTTCAATAATACACAATTTGAAAGAACAAGAAGAATCTAGAATTATTTTAATCATCCATTTTTAAGATAAGTCAGTCTTAATATGATTTTAGAATAAATAGGCAATACATATCTTGTTTTTGGTCTCCCTGGATTAAGCTGTGATCCCAACATTCTAGCAGGCTTTCGCTTTTAAATCGTCGTTTTTATTTACAAGGCTTCTCTGTCTTCTAACTGCTCTTAAGTTGCCTTAGCTTTTCTGTTCCTTGGATACCAACTAGGAACTATTTTCCATTTATCTTTTCTATGCGCACAACTGACTACGCTTTGTACAAACTGTTTTTTCTGACTTGCTCTGAACAGAACTTCTTCTGCCTCTTTGAAAAGTCTCTCTATAACCATCTTTGGATAAATCTCCAACGACTGGCAAGCTTCTGATTAGAATGAAGATATTCGACTTTATTAAAAAATAGTTCCATTTCAAACACTAAAACTGCAACAAAAACAAAACAGTTAAAAACGCTGAAAACACGATTTGTCGTGGCTTAAACACTAAAAAGTTTTCTGCAGATTTTAACTTCCTGTAATCAAAGCTTTAATTTCAATAACTCATACACTTACTGCTGACCGAAAACTATAACTCAGAATCATGATAAATGTGGCCACATGCAGCAAAGTTCTGCCACAGCACGTATCATCCACTCACTAATCGTGGTCTTATCAGCATCTCATTAAAAATTCAAAACATTAATTAGAAGCGCAAACGCTTTACCTTGGGGACCCACGCAATCGCGAACTTTTTATAAATTTACATAGTTTTTGAGTTAGTACTTGTAATGGGAGAGTACACAGACACATCCACCCACACATACACTTTGGAAAATATTTATGCAATTATTATTGTACAGCAACAACAACAACAACAATACCAACAAAAACAGCCGCATTTGCAAGTGCAACATTTTAAATGACTTTCAGTCACGGCAAGTACCTTGTAATAATAACAGTGGAAACAACAACAGTAACAACTGAAAGGGGTCGTGGAGGGGGAAGGAGGGGGATGGTGGGAAGGGTCCGCGAATCTAAGTTAAATATGCAAACTTCGCTTGCCAAGCAACCCGAACCAAAAAAAAAAAAAACAACAAAAATTAGCAACGTGATAAGCATTTGCCATTTTCTTTTCAGTTTCGTCTTTTTATTTTTTAACTGCCGCTGCAGTTAAACTGTAAAAGTTAATTAGCAAATGGTAGTGCAATTAAAAGCCAAGTTTGTTGTTGCAACTGCCACCTGACATTTACTGGTTGGTTGGATAGTTGGAGGGGCTTGTTGGCCAAGCAAATGTGTCGCACTGCAGTTGCCATTTGAATATGTAATGTGTTCCAAAGCGATTTGTCTAGCTAAGGGACTTGCAACCAGCCAGTAAGCTTATGCGCTAAGCTCCGCAAAAGATTGCCAAATGTGACGTCATTAATGTGTCTGAGCACTAATGCTGTAAAACGCAAATGAGAACGTTTTGTTGTAACTGGAGCTGATTGGCACTACTTACCTGTTGTTGGGAAAAACAGACGCAGTCTTTTTGAAACTCAACAAAATGGAGTACAATTTTATAAACCCAAGATGCCTAGAACTTATCAATATCAATACCAAGTTTGGTCATTCCAGCTCTAATACTTTCCAACATTCTTGGGACAGACAGACAAAACCTGTCTTGTCATTCTGATCAAGCATTTATTTAGGGGGAACAAAAATAAATAACATAAATTAAACTCGCGACTAGTTTTTAACTAAATAAATAAAAATAAATGAAAGTTATTGATAAAGCAATTTGAAAAACATTACAAAAGAAAATTAAGAACCACAAATTAATTGAATTGAATAATAAATACATATTATAAAATATATAACCAAGTTATTAAACAGGTTATAATAAAAAAAAAAACTTTTAAAATATTTTTTAATATTATTAAATACAAATAAAGAAACAGAATTTTAATTTCCACCTAGACTAGTGATGTGGGTCCAAAAATAAACATAGAAAATATAACATCGATGCATCGATTTAAAATATATATTTTGCAAATTTTCAAAATCGGTTCTTTATTACAGTAAATATATTTAGGAAACTTAAAAAAACGTTCATTTAGCACTTAATTTTACTGCATTTCTTATGTTTAAGTATTCCAATCAGTGGTGCAAAAAAGTTTAATGAAAATGAATTTCGCTCATAAAGGAGTTTTTCCCCATTTACTATATATAGCTAAAAAGTTAAACTAAGCTTATGAATTCTTTCTTGCTGGTAGTATTTTAGGGTATTATGTTTTATATTTGAAGCAAATATATAACTCAAACATGCAGCTTGTTGTTGTTTAGCGTTTGTTAATTCTCTTACAACTTTGTATCTTCTTGGCGGCGTTTTATTTGCCCTAAGGACATTTGAATTGATATTTCCAATGCTTAGAGCTTATCTTAATTAAAGCTTAATTACATCGCTAACTTAGTCCGTTGATGGAGTGTACAATTTGTAATGCTTTAATTCAGACTCGTGTGCTATTATTTAAGTTTTAGATTGGTAGTTCTAGGGTGCGTTTCTGCAAAAAAAAAAAAGATAAGCGGATGGAACTCATCAACCAAACTTTTACTAATCCAAAGAGACGTATTCAGGCATACCAATGCATACAACTACAAGTACATACATACATATGTATGTACATCTGTATGTGCTAGCCTTATAAATTTCGCACAGGTGCGAGTGTTTCTATTTCTGGCTGTTTAGCGGAATGTCAGCTTGACACGCAAGGCAGCTGGAAAGGCCATATACATAGATAAAAGAATAACAAAAATAAAAATAAAAAATGCTGAAAGCTGGAAGAAAATTTAATTAGCAACTGACTCTTGACGTTTCTAAAATTCGGGTCAAAATGGGCGCAGTTCTAGAATTTGTCAATGTCAAGCAACTGACCTATAAAAAATATAGAACTGGGACTAAATTGGTGGGGGAGTTACAGGCGAGTCATAAAAGCTGAAATGCCAAAACATCGCTAGAACACGCAATGGTTTCGAACGCTCAATGGCTCACTAAAAGGTTTGGCTTGTCGCTATTTTTGGACAATTTTTTATGTATTAGTCGGCCAGCGAGTAAGCAAAAATCCAAACCGCACAAATGTTATAAAAGTTTCTGCAACAGAAAGGCACGTAAACATTTTCGCTTGCTTTGCATAAAATTTGCAAAGTTGTCAAGTGTCAGCAAATATTTATGTCTGTATATATATTTTCCCCTCCAGACGTGGAATGTGTTGATGCCAGCGTCTTTGAGCCAAGCTGATAGCTTGATGGCCAAGTGGGCGCAGGTGGGAGTGGGCTGTTTAGTTTTAATTGCTTTTCAGAATACTTGTATGCCGAGTGAATCATTTAGAATCGGCGCACTCATCAATGGTTAATGGTTATTAACCTGCATTAATATTAAGTTTTACTTAATATTTAGTAATATATTTTAATATATAAGTTCCCCTCTTTATATGAAGTCCCGTTTACGACATGTTGACAGTCTCATTTGTCGATAGATAAAACAAACAAATAGTGCAGAACAAACTGAACAATCAATAACAAATGCGGCACATAAAAGTGAATCAACAAGTGTATGAAAAGTATTTAATAAAACATTTTAGCAAATATTTGCAATTCCATGCAGTCCTATCTGTCGGATAAACAAAGAAATAAAAATAGTGCAGAACAAACTAAATAATCAATAACAATTTAACAAATGCGGCACATAAAAGTGGCTTAAAACTGAATAAAATATTTAAAATAGTATGACATATTTGCATTTCGAGCAAGTTTTTCTTAACATACACATTAAAACGACTCAGAAATTTTTAATGCAAATAAATACAAGTAAAATAAACAAAAAGACAAGTCAAAGTCACAACAAGAACAACAATAATAACTAACCTGTACAAGTTTTGCGGCAAATGATTTCGCTGTTTCTTTCGCCTGTGCTGCCGTTGTACTTGTAGTGGTGGGCAGCGCTGCTAAAGCCGCTGGCTAACCTGTTGCTGCCGCCCAACGCCGGCGTTGGCGTTCGTTGTGTCGCTTATGCTGACGTTGACGTTGACGCCGACGTCAGAAGTCAAAAGAACTTCGACTTAAAAGCTTCTCAGCGCCGCTGCCTTCGCCGCAGCCGCAAGCGCCTTTTGCATGCGCAAAATAAAAAATTAAAAAAAAGCGACTCGCCACTCACACATACATCTGCGCAGACAGGTAAGTAGTGAGTGGTGGCAGAAGAGCAGCAGCAGCAGCAGCAGCAACAACAATGAATGATCGTAGTCGTTTAAGTTTAAGCTACGCTGGTATTGGTTTTAACATTTATTTGTGTGTGTATTCGCCTTAACACTTTTGCAAATAAATTTTAAATTGGCGAATAAAATGCTTCACTGCCGCGCACGTTTTGCTCACATTGATTTATGTATTTTAAGCACATTTTTATGTTTGTTTAACTCTTTGCGCGTTCGTTTCCTTTGCTCCTTACAATACAAGATGGTCGGCTAGCTGCCGCTTTCCGGCCGTAAACATTTCAAAACTAAGACAGGGTCTAGTACGCTAAGCCGATGTGTGTAACACACAACGCAACCACTTTTCAAACCGCAACCGCACACGTCAAGCTTAAAACGACAACTAAATTTGAAAGCTGCCCACTTATGAGGATTTTTTGTTGTTAATGTTACCAGACCGTGCCAATCAGCGGTTACAGAAAAGCGAGCATGCGCGATGTGGTATTGTGAGTGCTGCCATCTGATTGGCCGTTGCATACCAACGAGCTTTTGTCAGTGACCATCCGATGCCGTAACAAGACACATTGTCCAAAAGAAATCGACTGAATCGTGAATTAATAACAAAAAACTTATAAATCATAGGAAAATGCTGCGAGCCAGTTGCCAACTATTAAGTCAGCCAGGCGTTAGTGCCGTCAAAACAGGCAGCACGAACTTTGCACTCGAATTTGTGCGTTGGCGTCGAAAGCCGCGCTGGTTGCCGGTGGCTAAAAGTAAAAAGTTCCGAGTGCCCGAACGCAAAAAGCAAACCGAGGAGGAGCGTGTCGAGTTATTGCGCCTACACAACATTTACAAGTGGGTAGCAGCCATGTGACCGGCCAGTGGAACGGTAGGAACTAACTTCTAATTCATTGCAGAACCCAACTGCGCTCCGTGCGTCAATATCTGCGGGAGGAAACTGTGCGCCAACAGGAAACCTCGACGATCGACCATATAGTGTTCACGCCCGAGCAGGAGGAAGCGGCATTCCAGCGCTGCTTAGAGGAGAACGCAGCATGGAATGCGACCATTGCCGCTGAGCGTGAAGTGCGTCTGAAGAGGGAACGAGAGGAGAAGAAGGCATATGTGCAAGAGCGCTTGGAGGCGGCTCTAATCCGAGAGGAGGAGCGCAAGGAGCAAGCCAACGAGAAGGTGCGACGTGAGAAGGAGCTGGCGAAAACATTCATCTCGCGCGAGAACTTGGATGTGGCAATTGAAACGGCGCTCGCCAATCCTGTTGACTACAATTTCTCCATTGACTTGGGTGGAAACATTTACCGTGGGCGTGGCACATTGCCAGGCGGCTCGGAACCACCAGCAGAAGCACAACAGCAACAAAAGCAGGCAGCCAGCAATTAATAATTTGTTATTCGTTGAACACGTTTTTGGAAATAAACGAAATCTATAAATATTGCAATTCCTCCAGATACAGATGGCAACGGAAATTGCAATCAATATCGCTATTTAAGAAGCAAGTTTGTCAGAACGACACACAATTGTTTAAAAGTATGACATAAACAAATTGTTACTTCCAATTTGTGTACAAATTATTTGCTTGTCTGACCGTAGCTTTGCTTTACAAACTTCTTTAGGCAAGTAAGAAAACCCACTGAACGAAGTGTGTCGACAAATAAAATGTTGCTACACATAATTCAGTTGCAGCTTTTACGGCAAAGGGCGTTAGAAACTATTTCCTCGATGTTCACATCTCAGTTGGCAGGGAGTCGTATATTACGGGACTCGTGAGTCAAATTTCAAGTCATTACTACCTCAAAAGAACCTTGGGGATTGGTAAAAACATATCTATCATAATGTTGAAACGCATGGTGAATAAAAACCTGAAATCAAGTTACAGAGCCAGAGAAAACCCTATCCAGTTCCACGCCCTAACGAAGTGCAGGCGGATGGTTATTCAAAAATACAAACTCACTATCACTGGTATGCGCCTAATTATCTCCATAATTGGGTCACACTAAGAACCAACTGATAAATTAAATTAGTAATTACAATAATGTTTATCCCCAAGGATTCAATTTTTTGATTATGTATTTAAATAACTTAAGTGTAGGATGCATCGCTATATACATTAATTTTTTTTCTCACATAACTAAACACCATGCTGGGACATCTGGGAAACATCTAGGAACAACTATGCTATGTGCTATTGGCGCCATTGGAGGTCGGCATCGCTGTTGCTGTCGCAGCTGCTGCTGCTGTTGTGCGTAACGAGGGTGTTCGGCGCGCAGCTGCCTCTTGCTGCTTAAATAGATGCACCCAGTCGGGCGTAGCTTTCAATTTCGCCTGAATGGGTCCCAGATTTATCATATCACCACTACGTTCTTCGCGATTGGCGGTAACGGACATGAGTTCCTGCCACAACAAAGATTAAGCCATTGTATATGCCCATGAAGAATATAATTTCTGCCGCTCACCTGGAGGAACCCCGATTCCAGACCCATATCCAGATCGAAGCGCGTCTCGCCTAGCACCAGTTTGACGCGGCCCGAGCGATATCGCAGAATTTTGCCTATTTGACCCTCCTCCAGCTGCTTTAATACGCTATGCCTGGGCGCGGTCGATTGGTTGCTCGTTGCGGGACTTGCGGGCATATCCGACGAGTCTGGCGACAAACCTATATCTTTTTTCGAGTCTTCTGTGGCTACATCGCTGGGGTCATCGCTGACACAAGGCAACACATCCGGCAATTGCATAAGAAATATTTGGGACTGTGGTGCATCCAAAAAAGCATTTATGCTGCATGGATACCGACCGTACTGAGGAGGTGGTGTATCTGGTTTGCTCGACTGAACGTACAGATTCTGCAGTCGCTGAGCAACCGCAATGGGATCTGTGAAAAGTAATTAATGTATTAAAATCGATAAACAGTTTGAGATGTGAAGTTGTTTGTGGTACCCTCGTTGCTTGTGCTTAGATCTGGTATGACCATTGCCTCTTGCTTGACACTGGGCTTGTTGGTGCGCCAAAGGCCTGGATAATGGAAAGAACTTAGTAGGTTTATTTTATCAGTGAGTTGCAAACACCCACCTTCGCTCAAGATTATCGGTTTGAATGCCACATCAGTCTTATCAGCCTCAATTTCATTATCACTGCCGAGCCTCGAATCCTCATCGTCGCTGCTGTCCAGCAATTTCCTTGCATGCTGTTGCTGCTGTGCCGACTTCTCGTCCTTTCGTTCCGCGCGTTTTCGAGTAATGGATACTTCTTCGCTAGCGCGTCCATACACCGATCCACTGCCAGTTGATTTTCGCAGATGCACAGCACCTGCGCCCTCCGAGAAAACGCCCGCTGTCTGTATTAATGTGGAGCCGCCGCGACCGCGGCCAGCTGCCGCATTAGACCCGCGACCGCCACGCCCACCACGGCGAGCGCCACGCTCTGCCGTAAAATCTTTCGAGGTCTTCACATTGCTGTCATAATCATAATAGAGCACGATCTTAAGGATTAGGAGCTTTTAACATGCCGGTCATTACAACTTGCTTACGTGTTTTTGTTGCGGACCACATTGAGATTGGGTGCGAAAACCTTTTTGTTGCCGCCCGCGCCCGCTCCACGACCTCCCAAGGTTAGATCACGGGCAGGCGTTAATCGAGCCATTCCATTCAGCATTATCGTGTTTATATTAAGTGGTGCTGTCTCCAACGGTGTGCTCTGTCGCGTCGACGTTGCAGATGTTGTGTTGTTGCTGCTGCCACTCCCACTGTTGGCGGTCAAACGTTTGGCTGGCATGACCAATTGTTGCATCGCATTGTTGCTAGCCAACAAACTTAAAGTACTTAATTAATAAATTAACTAATTGTCCTCTCTCTCTCTAAAAACTCAATTTCATTAAATCGTGAAGCGAATACAAAACTCGCTGTCAAATTGAGGTTATTTAGTGTGTAAAAAATCCCAAAATGAACACATTGTGCCAGTATTTAAATACCGGAATCATGTGTTTTTAGTCAAGCTGCGTGCGTGACAAAAAAGCGTGACACGCATGTTCGAAACCAAATCTTGGCAAGATGTAAAATTAAAATTTCTAACGTTTGTTTTCAGGATTTATTTTGAATGTGGACAAATTAGTATCGTGATTGTGGTGAGATCTGACGCGCACAGCTCTACACTGCTGGCTGCACATGTTGACAGAAACAACTAACATTTATATTGCTGCTTTAAATAGTTTCATAGAGTGCACAAGAGCATTAATTGCATTAAAATCGACTGAAACAAAATGAAATTGGTAATTAATATACCAATTACTTTTATTAATTATTACAGCAGCCCTTATTTAATTTTGTGGCACGTTAGTCAACACTGTTCTAGTATAGTCAACAAACACAACGCTCGCGGGTTTTTTTTTTATTGTTTGGTTGCTTATGTTGCTAAAAAATTACAATTATTTATTTATCAAAAAGAATTGGATATATTTTGATTTGTGTTTTCAATAACGTGTGTTCCTATACTCTGACATTGCTACGCGCACATTTGTTTTAACAATGAAAGAAGCAGTGTGTTTGTGAACGCCGCATCAACAGTTGGATACGTATTTGGTGAGTTTTTCTTTAGTTCATATAAATGTTTATTGCAATGATTTGATGTATTTGGGGCACAAACATTTCTTGCGCAACTTCCTCCCCCTGGCTGAGCTCTCCATTTCGGTCGGTTGTTCTTCTTTCTGGGGCTCCTGCTCTTGATACCTATCGGGATTTGCTTTTTCGCTGCATTTGGAGGCCATGAATTCGAAAAAGTCTATGTTTCGAACATGGTAGTAGAATTGATCCTTGAATTGGAAGTAGTTTGGGTATACTTTGTGCTTCAGCATAGCCATGTAGAGACTGAGGCGCTGTTGTTCTAGGATCAGGCGACGCTTATGATCTCTAAGGTGGTTTTTCCAGCTGCGTTTGCTGATCTCCTGATGCAGGAGTGAACGTAAACGTGGATGCAGATGAAAGAGAACCGCTCTGCAAATTTAGTGCGGATGTACAAAAAAGAGAAGTAAAGGAGTATACAGTGTACCCTCTACTTACTCATTGAAACGGTTTTTCAATTTGCGAAAATTGATTTTGGTGAAGGGGTCCGCAAACTGGTGTATGCGATCTGTATTTGCCAGCTGAGCCGGTATCTCAACAAATACCCTGTATTTAGGGAAACAAAGTGTTGTTCAGTTAATAACAATTTACCGCTCGTGCTTGATAAAAAACGTTGAGGTCATAAAAAGATAGACTATGCATTACATGTATATTTGGGTGTGTGTATGTGTGTGGGTCTATTTCACCAGTGACGAGAGCTTTCGTTAGTATTTCGAAGCCGTTTGCCAGTGTCGGACGTAAAGCACTCGCACAGTGCAGCATTCGGAGAGCATGGATCGAGGACAGAAAGAAAACGTAGTTACATCCCAAGCTCCAAAGCCACCCCACATCGACGCTGAGTACGTGGAACGAGCTTTGCGGCGCGCTTACAACAGCGAACAGCTGAGTGTGGAAAGTTGCCAGATTGAGGGCATGAACCAACGGGGCGAGAACTTTTGCAGCGACATCTACAGGGTGCGTGTGGCATATCGCCAAAATGAAAATGGGCCGCTCCAGGAGGACAAATTAATACTGAAGGATTTGCTGCCAATTTTGGCCGAATTGGGATCGAGTGAGCTCCATATGAATCAACAGGTGCTACCCGCAATGGCGGAAATCGTGGCAAAGGCAGAGCCGAAGTTGCAGGACCCCAAACTGAGTGCAAAGTAAGTGCAATAAAAAGAATTATTTTTAGAAAGACTGGTTGAAATCTCCGCTAACTTGTCCAATACTTCAGATGTATTTTTGCCGAGCGTGCTTTTCAAAGGGAAATCTATCTCTTCGAGGATCTTTGTGAGTTGGGATATCGTACAGCTGATCGGTACAACGGCCTCTCATTCGAAGAGGCATCCGTTTGCATGCAAAAAATGGCACAATTCCACGCTGTCTCTATGCAACTGATACAAGAGCAACCCGTAATAGTGGACCAGTTAGCTCCCTCGGATTACTTAGCAGGACTAGAGAATCAGTTTGGACAGATCCTCGTTTTAGATGGGACAGCACATGCCGCCGATGTTGTGGCAAATTGGCCGGGCATGGCACATATAGCTGCCAAAATGCGCGCCCAGTGCCCCAAAGTATACAGCAAACGTATGTCGGACATGGTCGATCCAAAAAAGGCTGCCTTTACTGCTATTGTGCACGGCGATTTGTGGGTCAATAATACACTGTTGACACCCAATGCGGAGCAAGTGATATTTGTAAGTATATACATACATAACATAAAATATATGTTCGATTATTTCTAACTTCAATTTGTTGCCCACAGGTTGACTATCAGAACTGTTTTGTGGCCAGTCCCGCACTCGACTTGATCTACTTCTTATACACCAGTATCCAGCTGCCTGTGTTGCAGCAAAAGCGTACGGCACTAATCGAAACATACTACGAAAGCTTTGCTCAGACTTTACGAGCCTGTCGATACCCTCTAACCATACCTGCATATGGGGATCTGCTTGGAGAGGTGGAGCGATGCCTTTTCTATGGCTATTATGGCGTCGTTGTTGAACTTCCTATTTGTTGTGCCTCGAAAGCGGCATCTGAGGATTTCACATTAAACACAATTAGTGATCGGGACCTAATGAGAAAAAAGCGACAGGAACTTTTGGCTAATGAACGCGTATGCGATAGCTTAAAGTCCGCGCTCCCATACTTTGAACAGCAGGGTATTTTAGAAGCACTTTAAATGGAATTTGTTGTAGAAATTATATTATACCCTTGCTAGGGAAGCAAATTATTTGTACCGTCGTTTTATTTATCTTTAAACGAATAGAAATGTAGTCGAAGTTCTTCATCAAGGGTTTCAATTGTTTGCCAGCCAAGTTCTATTTAACTCTAACCAATATTTTTGAAAAAGTAGTTGAATGTGAACGCGAATTCTTTGTCATAGTGTTGCTATATTTCTTTCTGTCTCAACTGATGTTCCAATGCTATTACAGACATGTATTTTGTACTTACTTGGTGCTTAATACGGAAGGAAAGTCTACAATTTCTGACACCTTCCTTTGTAGTGGAAAACGTGGGTACTTCTGCATGTCCTTTTCAAACCACTCGAATTTGTTTGACATTTTATCATTAATTGTTCGAAGCTGATCTATATCGATCAGATAGTTTCCGGCACAGAAATTGTAGTTACTTAATGGCGGAACCTTGCGAAACAGCTCAAAACCTTTATAAAATCAGTTTGTTATTATGTTTGATTTCAAGAACGCCATAAATCAGATCGTCACTTACCCTTTTGTTTGCAATCATATCCTGAGAATTCCACAAAATATTTCGTCTTCAGCTTGGGGCAGTGACAATTTATAAATCTATCAAGCGTTTCAACCCAAGAGCGAAAAGTTGTAGACAGACTTTGTTCAAAAGATATGCTTAATTGCAACTCATCGCTGTGTGGTAATAAAAAAAATTGTAAACAAAAATTTAAAATTTGAGAAATCAAAATGCATTTAAAAGTGGGAAGCGGGCAACCAAAGAGTGATAAAGAAATGAATCGAAATATACAATTATTTCAATAGAGACACATTGTGAGAAAGGGGTATTAGAGAAAATTGTAAACTAATGGGAAATGTGTTCTATTGTTCAACTCACTGCACAATTAGCGCATTTTCATCGCATCCGAATTTCCGGAGCTGCGTCTTCAGCAGCACGTCTGCTTGGTTAATTGTCATACGCAGGTTGTGTCCGTCAATTTCCACAATTGTGCGATCTTGTGGTGCTTGAGCACTGCGTGTTCTTCCGACGGGCGACATTTTGGGCTGGGTCCATTCGTCCGGATCAGCCTCTGATGATAATGTCGGCTCCCGTACCGGTTGATGCAAAAAGGCATCACTCGGTATGACACTTAACAAGCTCTGTCCCCCCATCCCCCCATCCAGCGTTATAACTTCGTATGGCGAGACTTGGGTAATACGTATATGCAAGTCATCTGCCGCAAATACTTCAGTTTCGAGTCTCAAATCCACCGGATTTATGTGCGTAAAATTGAAGTAAATTCCTGCATACAGCTTGTGTTGTATCAGATAGCTGTCTGCCGTATAAGTGATGAAGCTCATGTCATGGGTGATGCTCTCCTCTTCGAACTCCGAAACCAAATAATCATCAATGCCACCACCCTTTTCCTTTGCTTTGATCGATGAAACGCTATCGCCACGAGAAACATTCTCCCCTTCTACCGACGTACGGCTGATCAGGCTAAATGGTGTTCCCGTTGGCGCATTAATGTATATCGTTTGCTAAGGCGAAAGAAATTAGAAATCTGCACTGAGAAAAATGCACACTCAACAAAATCGCCACAAACATTACCTTATTTTTAAAAAGTTCTTTTCTTAATTAAGGAAAGCACTCATTTCAAATTTATAGTTTTTGTTTTTCTTAAATGTAGAAATTATTTCTGACTACAACAAAAACTTTCCTTGTTCTAATTTTTTATTTTTTTGCTGGATTAAGAAACAAAATGAAACTATTATTCTTATGCTTATAAAAATTTGAAAATTGAAAAAAGTCATACATTTTTGCTAAAGTCCTAATCTCCTTAATCGATTGTTCTAGTCTTTTGGCCGACAATTTCGGTTGGACTAAAAAGTAAACCCAGAATCGATTGTGGTTGACTCCAAAAAAATCTTAATTCAGGTGACAGCATAAAGAGAATGATGGGAGAATATAGATTTCAACTTACTTCATCATTATTGGAGAATTAAAAATATATGAGAAATCATATATGTATTATGGGAAATGTGAGATTGGTAGATTAAGAATAGAATCATCTTTCGCACAGCTTAAAACTTAAAATAGAAAAAAATGAACTAATACTACTTGCACATATATATGTAAATGGTTCATCATATTCAAATTCAATTCTTATTACTATATACAGCATTAGACAAATAAAAATTCAAGGAAACGCTACTAAAAAATTTATACTTTACAGAAAATGTTTTCTGATTTCAGAATTCGGTCAGACATGCAAATAATTTGTTCAAAAATTAGTGCTTTTTACAATTAGTCTTGAAAAATAAATATTGATAAAATTTTTTTATAGCACGAACTGAATATTAGTATAGAGTTTTTCTAAGTTGTAATGGAATTAAAATTGTACTGCTGACTTGCTTCTGAATTGTGACAAATTTGTGTGCAACTCAATAACAAGTCTGACCGTAGCTTATGTTTACTGAAAACTCTAAAACAGAATACTGTTTTTAAAAAAGACTTTATACTTTTTAGAGCTAGTTGCATTTATGAGGGATATTTTGATAAATTGTAGGGCAATTATTTTCTAAGGGTTTTCTTTCTCTACTAAACACTTACCGAATGAATTGAGTCGTCCCGTGGACTTGTTACTTTAGCAGCTTTATGGCCCTCGTGGGAACTGCTTTGTGTTATATCCTTGTCGAACTCGTCTCCGAGAACCCCAGCGTCCCAGCCCACCGATACGGTGCTTGTAATGACGGTTCCATCGCTGTGATAGCATCTCATCTCGTCGGCCTTCCAAAGCATACGCACACCATCCTCGCGCATGGAGTAGCTCTCGTTGGCATAGTAATCGTGCCATTCCGTATTGAGAAAGGGTTTCCCGCAGACAATCTTTCCATTCTTCTGCACATGCACCGTACTGCCCATCGATGTGGTTAACTTCAGGGACAAATAGTTTATGTTATACAGAGCCGTAATGAACTTCAAGAAGTTGAGCTCGCAGTCTATGCTGGCGAAAAGGGCAGCCGCCTGGTTGTTTCGTGCTTGACGCGCCTTGCGACCGGCACCCTTCCCACCCGCACCCGTTTTCGAAGCGCGGCGCTGAAGAAGGGAGTGCTTGCTGGGTTCGGTGCCATCGCTGGCGCCTCCGAAAATGCGGGTGGTACGCGGCTTCGCTCTCCTGACTGGGTCAGTGGTATCAGCAGTAGAGGTGGCCAATGGTTGGTAGCTGCTGTAAGCAGAATTGGTTGAGCACGCATTGATGAATTCTGAGCTGAGGTCCTCCTCCTCCTCCTTGTCCGGCTCCAAATAGTTGTAGAGCCGATACACTTCGCCATTGTATCGCATTATTAGCACCATGTCGTCGTTGCTGAAGAACACAATAGTACAGCCGTAGGGTGTGCAGATTCGTCGACGCTCGTCCAGCTCGTTCTCCTGCAGATTCCACAATTGCTCCGCATGCGTGTCGTGACAGTAAACGCTCAGGCCGTTGGGGTAGTTGAGCAGCACCTTGGCGCACTCCTTGCTGGTGGGGAATACCCGCAGGCTAACCCCATTTTCGGACTCGAGACGTACATTGGGCTCCACAATGGTCGCATCACCCTTAACATTTGCAAAATGTAATTTCTGTCCATCGATTTGCAGCGTCAGGCATTTGTTCATCTGGCGGAAGTTCCACTTTTCCTCGTACAACTCTATGAGACCTTCTTCAAAATAGTATTTCGAGGTTTTAACCTTGATGGTTTGGCGCGTATCATCCAAATTATAGCCATAGAGCATCGGATGTTCGGGTCCTAGACCAATGTAATCGTATTTGCGCTCGACGTTATTACCCCTGGATGTTAGAATCGATTCATCTGCTCGGTGCGTTTTATAATATGGCACTGTCTCTATGGAATGCGACTTGGTGGTACTCTGCGTTTGATTTTGCGTCGTCTGTTGTTGGAGCTCTGCAATTTTGCGAGCCTTCAGCGAATTGGGGCGCACGAAGAAATTGATGTCTATTTTGATTGCTTGGCCGTCCTTGAAACGAAATTGAAATGCTTCGAACTCGGAAGCGGCCAGCGTTGCAACACTTAGGTTTTGGGTCAAGATATTGGCATTTGCTTGGGCGGCTTCGACTTCCTCCTGAAACATTTCCGGCGTTACCAGATCTCGCAGGAACTGCTCCATTTCGTAGAGTGTGAAATCTCGAAAGCACAATCGGGTGGGTATAACAATCTGCTTCTGATACTCAAAGACCTCGTTGAGGGCGCGCTTAAAGGTGTAGAGTCGGACATTCGGGTGAACTACTTCGATGGTGTAGTCATCGTATTCGTCGATCAGTTCGATTATCCGCTGGTCAACCGCATCATTGGTCAGCAGCAACTTGGCGTATTTGGGCAGGAATCTGGGCTCCGCTTCGCCGTTGTAGGGCTCGTACTTCAACGAGTCAATGATGTAGCCCGAGGTGAAGTAGCGTCGCAGAATGTTGTACTCCAAGCAGGCATGGTATATGTTTCGCATAAATGTATGATCCATGTAGGAAATGATGTTGTGCAACAGCGGATTGGCTTCTTCGACGAATAGACGTTCCGTCTTCGACAACTTAAGTATGCTCTTGAAAGCGTTAGCATAGACCTTAATTTTGTCGAGCACTTTGGTCTGCACAGAGGGCGAGGGATTTGCCAGTAGAAGCACTTCCATCTCAGTCATAAGCTCACGAGGATTGCCAAACGTACTCATAAGCGATTCCATATACATATAGACGGTGGTGTCATCGTTATAAGCATTGGGCACCGGCGCCTTCAGATAATGCCCCTGTATACTCAAAGACTCGGCCATGTGGAAATTGTCAAACAGATTTGTCGCAGGATTCATCTTAACGTTGATCTCGTGGTACGGCTTTATATAATAGTCCACGTACTGCTCACGCAGTGTGTGCACATCGTACAGATACCAACTAAGCTGATCGAAGATGTCATCCGAATACTTGGCCGCCAAGCACATCGACATTTGTGGCAGTTGCTGTTGAAATATGCCAACCGGCTTCGTGGCCGAGCGTTTGCGCAGCGAGTGTATGTCTCGCTGGATCTTCTCCACAATGTCCTGCAGGAACTTCTCACGGCGAGGTCGGGGCACCAAATGGTCGTAGGCACAGTCCTCTGGCAAAAAGTGTATGATCGCTCGCAATGGCTGTCGGTTACTGTGGGGTAACAGCATAACATAGAGTATAAGAAGTTAACAAATGAATCACTAAATGGATGAAGGGAATGTTGAACTTCACTTTAATAGAAATGTTTTAAATGCCCCTTTTCTTGTAAACATGTGATGGATTATTTGCGTGTACATATACCTTAATCCCAATAACGATTCTCAGCGAAATTTAAGTGACAATTTTCCAAATCTTTTGCTCTCTGAAACATGAAGCATTCTTATATATAGACAAACAAGTTCAAGAAAAGGAAAAACAATTCCACATTTTAAGCAGCTTGTGAATTCGGTTTGCCTCTTGCGATTCCATGCTATATTTGTTATGTACTTGTTTTTTATTTTTATCAAATGTTGTAGAAATGTTTATTAACAGTTTTATTTATTTATTTTCAAATTTTCATAGGAATTTTGAACCCACTTGCGGTGTGAATTTCCCAAAAACCACTTTGGTTATCATTTGTGGCTTAAGGATTTTATAAAGTACAAACTAACAGACAGAAAGACTTTCATTTCAAAAGATATGCTCTTGCAATTAAACACCCAAGCTCTTGCTACATTTTTTATAATACTCTGTCGACAATCTTATCCTAATCTAATCGCAATATTATATTTAATAATATATTTAATCAGGCGTCCAATGTTTATTGTAATTAGTAATTGTATTTGAAAGCGAAAAAATCAAAACTCCAGCAATTTATATTCGTTTTAAATAACAAAAATTAAACTATTGATTATAAAATAAAAAGTGCAATAAAGCATAAATTGGAAAGGGAGTTATAGAAAATCGCAAATAGCGGGGGACTGGGGACTGAGAATCCCAGAGGAGGGAGTCCACAATATTTTGGTTCCATTTTTCAGAAATTTCACTATTTAATTCTCCATTTGCCAGCGCTTAAGTATTTGGTGTGAGAATCGGCGAGGACGGCGCCCACAAAGTTTTAATTTCATTTTTCAGAAATTTCACTATATAATTCTTCATTTGCCAGCGCATCGGAAAAATGAACAAACTTGTCATTTCGCGAGCTTAGGAGAATCTGGATACCAAGTTTGGCTATTCTAGTTCCTATACTTTCCGAGATTCTTGCGTTCATACAGACAGACGAAAATACGTTAATTTCAACATATATGCTTTTTTGACCTCCTCTATAATTCTCTGTCGATAATCTCGAAGATATAGTTTTACTTGCAAATCTTAATTAATATATTTGAGCAGACGTCCTGTTAGTAATTCAAAGCGTAAAAATCAAAACTCTAGCAATTCATATCAAAAATTGAACTATTGATTATAAAATTTAAAATCAGTAAGTGGGGCGCCTCCCTTAAAAGTGCAATAGAGCATAAATTGGAAATGGGGAATGGTTGGCTAATCAATGTGAGGTTTTCTCACAGCAGCTATGTTTCGCCTAGGACTTCACTTCAAATGGGTGGCTCGGGGGAGTGCAGTTACTTGCATTACTCGAGTGCTAGCTCTGGTGTATTTATAAATAAATTTGGTGTCTGCCAAAGTTGTTGGCAAAGATTTACGTGCTGTGCTTCTGTCATGTGTGTTATATATGCATTAAGTTAGCATGTGCCTTGGATGGCTGCATGGAGTGCGATAAAGTTGCCAGAACACATACACCATAATCTCCTGCCCAACTTAAGGACGATATGCAAATCGTTTTCCAGTTATTCTTAGAAACTTGTCACATGCCAAGCAATGGGGGAAGCCAAGCGTGGCAATGTAGGTGTAAAGGCATTTGATGCATGTAAGTGTTTAAAAAGCAATTTTATGTTTTTGTGCCAAGTACAGAAAAGTGCAGAAAAGTTCAATAAAGTGCGATATTACTTACTCGATTAATTTCTTGTAAAAGTCATTATTCATATTATCCAAATTACCAATAATTGCGATAATAATTTTTGAATTCAGCGGCTCATCCTTGATGTACTGTAAAGGGAGTGCAATTATAAGGCTGAAAAAATATATTTATACAAATTAGAAATCTTACTGTGCGCTTCGACAATGGATTTCCTTTACCAACTTTATTGTGTTCCTTGGACATCATGCCGAAGCACATTATTTCGCCCAAAGTGTAGTCATCGGTGATGGTATTCTCTTTTGACTTGGTGCCCTTGGCTGTTTTTTGCGAACCACGTCTTGTGTCCGTGCCGCCTTTTGATTTCTTTGGTTCCTTTTTCGGCTCGAATCGATCTTTCAGATCTGCCGGCATATTTTTAATCCAATACTGATAAATGTCGAACTGAAGCTCAGCTTCAATTTGTCGAGAAACCTTTTCATAGTCATCCAAACAGTTTCGAATGCGCAACAGAGCAAGATCCAAGGGTTCTTCGGGTATAAAACCTGTAGAGATGTTATGGAAATAATAATAGTACTATATACACCTTTTTCTGTTTTTACACGGTTTTGATTTAACACTGAAAATTTACAATTTTATGTGTGGTTTTTTAACACGACCTTTTCCGGAACCAATCTACGTGTAAAAACAGAATTAGGTGTATTCCGAAACTAAATGGAGTAGGCTTTTGATGAGAATGAATCGTCTTGAATTGTAGGGACACTACATTATTTTGTAATTAAATCACAAGTGCACTCGTGCTTACTTGGCTTCTTGAATTTCGAGGATCGTCTGCTAATGTCGTTAAAAAGTATAGCCTCCTGGACTTCAGTCTCCAAATCAATGACAAACACAGACCGGCGCAGGCCATCCTTTACCCGTTTCACAAACTCATCGCGCACAGCATTTAGGCCGTTGTCGTAGAAATTGACGCAATAGATTTGATAGGAGGGTTGGAGTATGGAGCGATTGGTCTTGTTACTCCGACTTGTGCGAGCTGTGCCGGATTTTAAGCCACTGGCGCGACTCATGGTTAAGTGTTAACAAAATATATTTAAGATGGTTGAGTGAATTGAACGTAAAGAAGTTACAATGTATGCATACAATACAAAATATATAAATGGAAGATGTCACAAGTCTGACAACAAATTCGTAGGTCAACCCCTAGAAAACACACACAAGAACACAGCCAATAACCCATCCGGTCTCCCTCAGATGATGATGAGTCTTCTCGGATTGCACTCGAAATGCAAAAACAAATCAAAGATGCGCCTTCTCACTGCAACTGCAACTTCTGGTGGTGTCTAGGCATTAATTGCATTCTGCAGCATCACATTGCACTTTCAATTAGTTGCAAATGCCTCGGATGTTCGACTCACACTGCCAGACAGTTTCCGAAACCGACGCCAAAGTAACAGGAAACGGAAGTTAAGTGCTGAGGCGAGGCGTTAAGTAAAAGCAACCCGACCCAGGCCGACACCGAGCTTCTGGGGCAAGAGAATTGAAAGGCAGCAAAGCAACTTGCCGCCCACCACAACACCAGAGATATATGCATTAATTGAAAGGTGATGATGTTGAAGTTGGGGGAAAAAAGGCAAGGGTGCGACTCTGACAATTGCTCGCATGTACCAGCTCTCGGAGCTATAAATGCCAGTTAGTAACTATTCGTCTCTTAGTTCTTTATTTCTATATAAGCTTTTTGAATGGAAAATAGTTTCAAAATTTGTGTACCTTCCTGCAACAATTGAACCCAACAAATCGTTGAGAAACTAAATATTTAAATATTAAACTAAATATATGTAAAGACAAAAAAATTGAAGAACCATTATTATCAAGATAACCAGAGTAACGACGAAGTATTTCAAAAAGTATTTTCAAAACAAATGTTAAGGGAAAATACAAATTAATAAATATAATGCAAAATTCCTTTTTCTTATTTAATATTCATATTTAACGTTCAGCGATTAAGTTGTCGATTTACTATCGAAATGTTGGTCCTGGTAGCACTCATACTTATATAATGTTCATTTATTCTTGAATATAAATAATTATGCGTGTCGACACTGATAGAAGATTTGAGAAGTGAAATTCAGACCGAAAGTGCTTTACTTTGTTCCGAATCTTTCTTGAAATTTCAAGTGTACATAAACAAAGCCCAATCGCAAATGTTGCAGGACTAACTGCGTTTTTGTTGTTGTTGTTATTTTGGACTGTAATTCCCCAGTCATTTGTCTGCAGAAGGGTGTTGAAAATAACGAGTTGTGGATGTTTGATTCGAATCGCGTCAAGGTATGTAATAGAAAATGTGTGCAAATGGGTCTAATTAAATAATAATACCTAATTTCTTTACTTTTGTTGTTAATTTAAAAAACTCAATTAATAATTTTGATAACTATTTTTTAAAGTTTTATTAAACAGTTTCATTTTCAAAAACAGTCAAAAATTAGAAGAAAAAAAATCTCACTTAAAACAAGAGTTTGGGTCTTGTTTAGGAAATTAGCGAGGGGATCGTACTTTTTTCACTCTTAATAAAAAATATTTCCTTAATTTGCCAAATATTAATAATAAATCCCCTTTGGCACCTTTCAGTTGAAAAAGTGGAACTAGTTCCATCCGTACTGCACATCTCTACTCGCCCATTCTTCCAAAAAGTTCATGTATTTTCCTTACGCAAATTTTGCACTTTGCTGCCGGCCATTTGCGTTTTGTTTCCTCACAAGTAAACAGCTCTGCCTGTGTGATCCCTGTTCCTTGTACTCTGTACCTGTACTTGCTTAATGCATATCCAAATTGATTTATGAGTTTTCTTTTGAATTGACTGCGTAGGTGTTTGATTTGCCTGAAGCGGATTCCGGCCATGGAATTACTTTGGGGGTTCCAGTTTGTGTGCACAACGTCTATGCATTTGTTTGTTTTCGATGTTAATTAAGGCTTACAATGATTGCACAGATCGAATGGAGAGCCTGTGAGGGCGTACGGTCAATTGGTTAAGCGTAGCTATCGATGGGTTTTATCACTTAGCAAAAACTATCTATAGAGTAAGGAAGGGAGGTTACCTACACAAAGCACACTAAACAATTAAAAGCAATAAATTTATATACACAACCATTAATCAAAGTCCGATCATAATCTCAAAAGGAAAACAAAAAAAGCAAAACACAACTAACCAGCGAAAAGTTCAGAACGTACAAGGCGACATATGAGCCTGTGGAGAACACAACCCCCACCCCAACCCCAAACCTAGCTGCAACCCCCACAGGAGCGACCGCAGCAGCGAAAACTCCGGCCAAACAGTTGCCAACCCATGTGTTGTCATTGCCGTCTCCATTTATTAATTGTACTGCTGTCTCCAATCATAATTAATGAACTTTCAGCACATCCTATGCGCCAGACATATGTATACACGTTTGTATATATATGCTCGGCCTTATCCCAAGCAGAATTCAAATAAAACTGAAATATAAATACAAATGTATGCCAGCACACCATAAATCTTCTTTTGGCAAATCTGTGTGATGCTCGTACAAACACCAACACCGACTTGGCTAGTTGTTGGGGTATTTGTTTAATGGTTGGCAATTTCAATTGTGCCCATTAAAGGCTCAGGGGATTAGTTAGTTGCAAAATATACATACTATATAGTATAAGTAGTATATATAAATGGTGACTTGGGTATTGGAAAATTGAGTTGCTCTTCATCTTTAGTAGAGGCGCCTGCCTAGTGTGAATTGTTTTTGCTGAATTGAGATATGCTAAATTTTTGGATTGTAATATATCTCAGGGGACAGCAACATACCACTGTTTCTAGTTTGCTGCAAGAGTTTTAACTTGGAAAATTGTTTCTAAGCGGTGACCAAACAATAATGATGCAAAAATATTGATATTAAAGGAATAGCTGGCACTTGAATGCTATCCCATTTATATTATTGATGTATTATATGTATTAGTTTCTTAGTTAGTTTTTAATCCTTTTGACCCAAAACACATTTCCCGTTTTTCTTTTAAATACTAGACTTTATAACAAATAAGTAATGTGTAAGGTATTATATTTCTAGAACAAACTCTTTGACTTTAATAAATTTAAATGCAAATGCAAAATTTGTACACTAGTAGAATTTTATAATTTTTCCTATGTTTTCCTAAGCTTTCCTCCTATGTCGACAGTCAATGTTTGTTGACATAAATAAATAAAATTATAAATGCTAGAAAGTGAAATTTGAAACCTCAGGACATGTCGAACGGGTCTTTAAATCTGTCGCAGTAATTGTAATCCATTTCCATTCAATAGCTCGAACATTTGAAATGCTTTCCACTTAAAAATCTCCTACTCCTGTACTCGTTTTATTTTTGGACAAAATGTAATCAAGCACACGAGCATAGTGTAAAGTGGGATCCTGCTGAGTTATTAATGTCTGCTAAAGACACCCTCCTAACCTCCAAAACAGTCTTTTTACTCCTCAACCAAGACCAAGACCAGCAAACCAAATGATTGGCCATCAATAATAACCAGTAGACAAAGCACTGAGGCTCTAACTTGCAAGTAATCCAAAGAGCATATCCACCCAGCTCTTGCCAAAAAATTTACATATGAATGCTTTGGATGATACAGATGCGACAGCCCTATAGTATAGCCAATTGTGTCTGTGTGTCTGTGAAAAATTGGCTGTCCACAAACACACGCACACACACACATGATTGCCATTAGGTTGTGGGTTGTGTGTGTGGAGAGTGTGGGGGTAGCCCTTTCACTTGTCTAATGACTAATGATGCTGCTATTCATCTTGGCTTATTTGTAAAGCAAGTGCTAATGTTTTTTAATTTGCCAGCAAATGTGAAATCGTCAGCGTCGTCGTCGTCGCATAATTACACGGCGATGTGTGTGCAGAAAAGCTTTTCTCATTATTTTAAAATTATTTAAATTTTAAGCACTCACTTGCTGGCTGACTAACTGAGAGACTGACAACGCTGATAAATGAGCAACTGACACTCATATGGTGAGGATGGGGGGGATGCCCCCCTCCTCCTCCTCCTCCTCCTCCTCCTTCATTCAACACACATTTGCCGTGAAATGAAAAATTAACGCAATTTTGTTGTTTGCTATTCAGCTTTGCTGCTGAAGCAGTTGAGTGAAGGGGATTTTCTAATTCTCAAGCAAGTAGCATGATTCTCCGATGATTATGTGCGATTTGCATATGTAATTTTCCACGTCAGCGTTTTCAAGGGGTTCTTCTTTTTATCAGCTTGCAGTAAGCGTTTGAGAGTTTTAATTTAAATGAAAAAGTTTCGCATTTCATAGGAACTTCAGTAGCACTTTCAGAGCCTGATGCATCGATTGTGCGACAGTTTATGTCCACAATATTTCCATTTATATTTAAAGTTTGTTAATAAGACCTGAACGTGTCGATTAAATATGAATTATTTTCTCGAGACACTTTTTAGTTTTGACAAAATAAACTGCACAAATAAGAAGACATTTCAATTAAAAAATAATTACATCAAAAAACTAGAGACAAGAGCGCATTTAAAATTTTTTAAAAATTTCAATATTTGAAATGCGGTTTGTTGCAAAAAAAAATGTTTTCTGCTAAAATTTTTAACGGGTGTCCTGAAAATCCATGAAGGATATTCAAATATAAGAACCATATATTGACAGCACTTTTTTATTTATTTGTTTATTAGTTCCTAGTACGACAATAAAATTTCTTATAAATTAATTTACTAGTACGGATTTCTTAAATAAATAAATAAATATATTTCAAAAATCATAAAAAAAAAACATTGAGTATGTTGGCGTTGGGTCTTAAAGGGATAGCAAGTATTTTCAGGTCCTATTTTGAATTGTCATCCCTAAATAAAATGGCTTGGCAATTATAATAAAAAGTCAAATATAATAATTAATGTAATGCACAGACATGTCTCATCAAGTCTACTGCTCGAACAATAAAAACCAAGCTCAGCTTTCTAGTCATAAATTTTGCAATAAACAGACATCGGATGGAACATTAAAAGCGAGTGTCAAAAACCTTTTCACACATTTTGAGCTGTCAGTGGATATTGAAAATGGTGGTTTATGGGTGTGGCTGCACTATGAATTACATACATATAC